AAAATTAAAATTAAAATTAAAATTAAAATTAAAATTAAAATTAAAATTAAAATTAAAATTAAAATTAAAATTAAAATTAAAATTAAAAATAAAATTAAAATTAATTAAAATTAAAATTAAAAATAATATTAAAATTAATTAAAATTATCTAAAGTATCTTTATGAAGCAAAATGACATGGAGGTGCATTATTCTTGTCTATTTACAAGTCTTCAATTACGTAGTTCGATTTTTAAGAATCACGAATACGGTTTCACCTTTTAACAACTTCAAGTTATGCCTTACAATATCAGAACTATTGAAGTACATGGCGCAGTTTTTTTCTTCAATTTCAAGGGCTTCTCCCTCGGTATAAGAGAGTAAGATGGAAGTGTTGCGGACACTGACTGCCGTTGGCAAAATCTCAAATAGCGGTACCGTAGGATGATAAATAGCTCCTGAAGGTTTTCACTTCGAGTATATGAGTCAATATATATACAGTATAACAAAAAGGATCTTGCTCCTGACACGTATATCGCAGTTTCTCAGGAGCGGCTTATCGTTGTCCAGGGATGAATGATTTTTCCAAATGGTCGGGACGTACGATCACCAGACATTCTAGTATCAACCAACAATGCAGTCCTACAATCTCCTATATTTTAAGGTAATAGGTGCAATTCTCGTTGCACATTATTGGAGACCGATTGTTCCCCGGAGAAGGTTGAACTTTAACGTCGCGTTGTTTTTATTGGTACTTTTATTGAATTTGTGGTGATGGTAGGATACAACTGCTCGCCATTTTATAAATGCAAGAATACGTCAGCTGACGCGCGTCAGCGTGGTATGAAACGATTTCTGTAAGAGAGTTACGACTTTATAATCTCGCGCCACTTTAGGCGGACCAATAAGGAATCGTGGCTCCATGATTTCGAGATTTTCGAGATAATCGATTGTGTCAAGCGTGTCCCTTTTTGAATAGGATCACTAGTTTCAGTGTTTCCGAGGCAGTCGAGGTCTCGGGTCAATGACGAATATCACTTAATGAGACTTGCCGTCCCTGTAATAACCTTAAAAATTCAATTAAGATGGAAATATCGTATACATTTCCCCATCATTCCAACCCCCGAGGTTTACATCTAGTACTTCCTCCTTGTAGTTTCTCAAACTCTCTTCCTATTCTTCTCTTTTCTCCACAAAATCATGCTACCTTGGCTTCTCCAACAGCCAACTCTTACCATGTATATAATTACCCAACTCCAACGGTGAAACTTTGAACTTTGTCAATTTGTTAGGCGTCTTCAAGGTGAAGTAAAACGAGAGAAGCCACTTCAGTATTCCTGAAGACCGTTATTAGTTGATGAAACCCTATCTGACGTCCGTTGTCGGTCAACAAAAAATTTTCTCCAGTGGAAAAATAAATTAACGGCTCTAAGAAAAGCTGTTTCAACAAGAATAAGAGGTTTTTTGACGTAAGCGAATTTTGCGAGTTGAGAATTCATGATTGAACTTTCATAGTCATCTAGTCTTTCGATACAGCGCTGATCGATAAATATCGCAAATAAATAACATCATCTATGCTGATACAAGAACTCTGTTAATATACGATTAGTAAGTATTACCTAATTGAGCAGTTGAATAATAACAAATTAATCGTATGTTGACAGTTACCAAATGGTTCATTTGAAAATTCAAGCGAACTGGATCATTAATCATAGTTTCCGATCTGCTAGTTAGTGTGACAAATCTGTTATATATTATTAAGTGGTAATTTTTGACGATTATGTTTTTTAAATAATAATTTAAGACTTAAGATGAAGCAAAATCAAGCAAAATGAAGCAATTACAGGAGATGAGTCACGTTTTAATTAACGTGCACTGATAGAAGGGGCAAGTTCTATCAATGTGACGTATTTGGTTGTGTATTTTTTTTCAATTCGTTCAGCATTCAATCATAAATACAACAGATAATATTTCGTTTAACTGTTAGCCGATTTCAACCATATTCGATTCTATTCAATTTTTCTGGTGCTGCGAACCGAGAGTCGTCTGGTAATTTCGGCTAGCATTTCGTGAAAAATCGGCTAGCAGCTGAAGGAAATACGATTTATTCAATACACTCATAACTATCCGATTGGGAGAAACGGTAAAAATATTTAACTGTACATGTTCGGTCGTAAGCTCGCCTTTCTAGAAGTTGGTGTGAATCAGGAATCTAAAGAGCATTCCAATGCGAAAAGCCCGTAAATCATAAGCGTCTGGATGATTTACGACAGCAGATAGGTCCTCTTTAATTGAATATCCGAGAATGGAGGGTACGATACACGATACTGCATAAGAACATCAATACACACCGTATGCACACTATTGAATTGGGAGCATTCTTCCATGCAGATGATTCATAAAGTTCTCGGCAGTATCAGGCAATAACTCTGTTATGGAGAATGCCAAAAGCCTTTGACAGTATGAATCGAATGGGAACTAAAGTGATAGGATTCGTATAATGAGAAAAATCAGGGTGCTAGGTTATATAGGATTCTCAATAATTCCCAAGACTGGACCGGAAATTGCACTGGCCGCAGAAGGCAGCGTTTCCGGTCTAGTGGTCGAAAGGCAATAGGCGACGATAGGTGGCAACACCCGTAAATCCGAAACAGTACCATTTCTACTCTCTCAATTCTTCTACAGTGTCCAGGGGGTGGAGTTTCGACTGAATAAAACTTGTCCCACTTGGCCATCACTCTTGGTCGAGTTGAAATCGCTTTCTCTCGTTCTGTCAAACTCTGAGTTACTGACTGTCTTCTCAACTGTCTGATGGTTCGAGTCCTTAGTGGACAAACTGATAAAGCTGAGACACCTTCAAAGGCCAGATGATTTCCCTTGATAATAGAGAGAGAAACAGAGTGGATCTCATTTTAACTCGCCAAACAAAAATTCACTGCGCATGAGTCAATCTTGGGTGCAACATCTGCGGAATTCGACCGTGAAGTTCGAAAGAGTGAAAATATCTGATTGGTTCTCACAAAATCTGGGTTAAGGGTATCTTTTGATTATTGCTGTAGTTCTCGGCAATGTCGCAGCTAATAAAAGTTAAGCTCATGGTTTTTCAATTGGCTATTTCAGTGAAGTTTATTTTTTTCTGTTGCAGCTTGTCGGTGGAGAGTTCGATATGGAGCTGAATTTCGTCATTCAGGATGCCCAGAACATCAGGCACATGCTCGAACTACTCGATCACTGTCCGCCCAACCTCCAGGTAAGAAACTCATAAAACAAGACGCGTAACGCATACAACCTGTAAGTCAAAACATCATTTCATCATTAAACTTATTACGGGAAGTGCCTACGACTCTACTGAGGTGGTGCATTTGAATTTCAAACATCGCCATGAGCCGTTGAGTACTATTCGCTTCCAGAGACCAGACTAAATTACCGTAAATTATTGACACCTACGGAGAGAAATATTCAGCGAAAATTACCCAACAATTCACGTCATCCGAAAGACGGAATTGTTTTCCGGCAATTTTATAGGGTTGGAAGAATAAAAAAACTCGATGGTTCAATAATGTTGGAAATTTACCACTGAAAAAAGTATGGAATTGCGTCATTTTACCCGAACCAGTAAAATCTCACGGAAAATTCTCGTTTTCATTGAGTTAAGCTTTAAAAATAGGAAACCCATGAATGATCAACAGTTTTCATGACGCTGGTGTGTTGTTTCTACAAAAAAAAAAAGACGGAACAGATCGTAAAATTTACGTGATGTACGAGCGCACAGTTTCTCTCCCAACGTACAAGTTTTATTGAACTTCACTTCACTTCGATTACAGTTCGAGTTGTGATTTTTACGTTCTTTTTCCGGTAATTTTTATTAGATTTTTCTCTCCGTCGACCGTTCGTTATTATAAGTAATCGCCCTAATGGAAAATTACTTAAAGGATTGTTTCGGATCTTCACATTAAAAATCTAAATGTAAATAATTAGACTCGTATCCATACATTGCGGAATTGGATCTTGTCAATGAGGAAATTCCGACTCGTGAATTACTCAATTAAAAATGCAAATCGTGAGGTCAATTGTTTCCAAAAATTTCACATTTATCTAAACAAATTCCTATAGAAACTTAGAACTATTTTTGAGGAGTAGGAGAACTATTATTTTTGTTTAGGCGTATGGCACTTTGAGTGGAAATTTTCGGATATAATGGATGAAGTTCTGCTGTGAATATGGCTTCAACCTATAAAAACGTCAATAACTCCATTAGGCTAAATTCAGATGGGGAATAATTTTCTGTAATTTTTGGAGCACTCATGCCATCAAAGCCAAAAATCCAATGAATTTTCCAATGGGTTGATTGAAAAAAAGTGAATTTCTTATTATGACTTCAATTCTAAAAATAAATACACACTAAAAATTTCTATACGATTAATCCGCAATAAATTCTTGACTATGTTTTGCGCAATTATCTCAATTTTATTGAACTAAAGCATATGGTTTTAATTACTTTTTCAATATTTAGTTTTATCGTTATTAATAATTTTGATATTAATTCATTTTAATTTAAATTTCGATTTTTTCATCACATTTTGAATTTTCATTCATAGATTTCGTGACATCTCAATCGGACTATAACTCAAAATCTTGACGATTATGTCCAACTTCAAATTTGATTATGAAAATCCAAACTTTACGGGCGTCATTAATCATTTACAAATTAATTAACTAAAAAAATTCGAAAATCCATGCGACTGATCGTTAACAACAATCGAACGTTTCTTAATAAAAACCGCATAATACGAGGTCTCGGGCCCTGCCAAGCGCTCAACTCAAGAAATCTTTAATGAGGAGACTAAAACAATGACCATCGATGAAGAGGGATAAGGGTAGGGGTCAGGATAAGCTGCAGCAATAAATAATGATGAAAAATAGAAAAGGAGTCAGAGATAAGGTTCGACCCTACGTTTGTAACACTTAGGATTGACCCTTATGATTTTTTAATTGTTACCCGCAAGTGAGACGATATATATGCCGAATATATAGGGTGAGGCAAAATGAATCGAAAAGAAAAATTTAGGTCCTCAAGAAAAAATTTCGAAGATTGTACTTTAATAGAAACGCGGTGCTCCTCCATCAAATATCGCCCCTTCCTAATAAAACAGAAATCTCAATTTTTTTTCCCTTGACAGTTGTATAAATGGTATGAATGGTATAATAATTAACTAATAATTGACGAAGGCACTGATAAATAAAATGACCGAGAAATTTCAAGTCTCAAGTATAGAAGTTTTAAATATAAAATGCAAAATTTCTGACGGCGGTGGTCGTCTAGCTAGAGCATCGGTGGGCACATGGAGAACTAGGGTTCAATTCCCGGTCTGGGGAAATGGGGAAGCCAAATGATTTTCTAACGCTCTAATTTACAGGGCTTCATCGTCCGAGCGGCAATTTCGAAAGGGCCACTCTACCTGGCCAAGATTTTTTCATGAAGTTTACCCTTCGGCCCTCGGCGTAATTGCGGGGGGGGGGGGGGGATAAACAACCCGAAGGGGTATCCATGTGGAAAAATTTACATAATTAAATCCAAAACTAACTTCACATAAGAAACAATTTTTGAAAAAAGAAACTTGTCAGAACGTCAAAGTTCTCATACAGCTCGTCTATTCAAGCAAATTTCATGAAAAAGCACAATCACTTCATCGAAAAAGGCAGAGATTTCCCGCTATGAAATACAGTCAATTGAGACGAGAATCAATATCGACAGCTCAATAACAGGCAAGCGTGTGCTATGCATGGATTCTCCATCATGATACTCTCCTCCATCATTAAACTGTCAATACGATGAATATGCATTTATCAAGGTGATATCATAAAGGCATATTATCTTTGTATTATCTTAAGTAGAAACTTGAAATGTTGCACATGTTTTGAATACAAACTATTTGGAATTCGACAGTTCCTTTTTTTCAGAATCCGAATAGATTGCATTCAATCTCCAAGTTCATTTTTTTATATTTTTTATGCTTTACGTGGTGTATCTGATCCCAAAAATGGCAGTAGTAGACTTGGATGGACTATACAGGGATGAAATGGTCGAGGAGTTCGTGAACATGCAGTGTCAAGGGGAACAACTCAATATCATGTCATCCGCTGTCTTCTCTGCAGTTATATTCCAAAACAATGAGATAGGACAAATGTTTTCAAATCGAATCCTGTACGCTGACAGAAGAGTTTAGTTAATGTCAATAGTACTGCTGAATTAGAATCAATTAAATATTCATTAATAGTTACTGAATCACTAGTTCATCTGAAAAACAGATTGTTCGCTTCTGATCAATTATAATTTCCAATCATTTCAAAAATTAACGTAGACTATGTACAGTATCGTATCGATATTCACGAGTTTTTTAGAAGATTTCTAGATTGAATTCTAGTATATAAACCACTTTTTTCAAGATCACGACTTTTGAAAATCAACAACCACGAAACAATCGAAATCTAATACTCGCTGGCAACGCCCAAAGGCGTTACGTTCGTACAATTAATAATATTCCTAGTTAACTGCAACGAATATGTATTAAATAAAAACATAAGAAAAAATATTCAACTAAGATTTTCAGTTTACGGTCGTGCTAGTCCGTAGAACACAACACAAATGTTAAGGATCAAAATATCCAAGCTGTCTTATGGACTCTAATTGAGTTCATGCGGAGGGAAGCACCCTCAGGTACCATACATAAGACCCCGATCCTGGTATTATCATATTACCTAGTAAGACATGAATCTCCACAGTAGTACTGGAGTTGTTGGTGCCATCTATCTGACAATGGACCCTTCACAATGATAGCGATGGGAACGCTAAGCTTCAGTTTTGATCCTTAGAAATACTGAAATTGACTTGAGGAGGGCGGGATGCGAACCCAGTCGTCTGTCCTGCTGGAATTGAGATGTGACAAAAGTAAAGTGCCAGATTCTTCCGGCACTTGGAATTTGAATGGGCTTCAAGTACTGAGTCTTCTAGTGCTTCCACTTAGTCTGTAGAAAAAGTAAAAACTTAACAAGGAATTAATAATTTTATTGGGTCTTAAAATCCAAATCAACTTAGGGCCCCACATCACTGATTGCCGATATTATCAACAAGAGTCTTCCTACAACTTTCATTTTGAATAATGATATCTCAAAAAAATTCTATACACTTGGGTAAAGTTTTCTCAATTCCAATTGACATCGCCCTTAAATCCGTAAGAGATAGAGTGAATCTCTGGATCAGCACCGCAAACCAATAGCACGCATCTCTCAACCCCAATTTTGTACACGGAAAGATATTAGAGGTCCACAATTGAGTGGAATTCTGGTCAATGAGGAGTCATCCAAGTCTCGTATAGCCCCTGGAAATCGGTGCTCAACTCTTAGCTCGTCCAAACCCCCTGTATTCGCAGTAAAAGCGGAATTACGGTATCCCGCAAATGGCGCTCGTAACTTGTACCTAGTCTAACCTATTGCGTTCCACAGTTGGATTTATGGCTCTTGCCACAAGCTTTTCTATTATTTTTTTTTCCATCCCCAGTGTGGCTAGCATTGAAAAAAGAATAAAGCATTCAACACAAGAAAACATCCAAGGATAATTCCTCTCACAGTGGAATGACCAAAAAATCCAAGTGTTTGTATACACGATAGCTGCCCGCGGGGCTGTTTGCGTGTTTCACTGTGGAGATGTATTTTCTTCCAACATTTGAAACATGCGCCTGAGTACAGCCCCTCCTACCTATTTCAATGCAACTTGGACCTGGCGAGAGACATCCCGAGTGAAAGAATACGCGGTCTGAAGTTATATCACGAATGGGTCAGACCCATGTCAGTGATGTTGGTGAAAACTGGCACGTTTTATTCAGCAGAAATACATACGCTAAGAGAATTCAAAATTTTACCTATCATTTCTGTTCTGCTGTTACATCACGTTCGACCTCATACCTACCCGCTGTTACGATCGTGAAAATCTTTACATCTGCATTCGGATAGCTGTGATAATAGATCTCGACGGTATTACTCAATGGTGGATACTCTTATGTAACTGCTTATGCATTCTCCATTTTTATTTATGACGACGGCATTTCTATGGTGCTTGAGATATCTCCAGGGGCCAATGAGAAAATTCACGACTGCATCGAAAGAAATAAACTTACTGCAAGTGTATTCCCTTTTCCATGCAATATTCATAAAAAAATTGTTTATGCGCTTGTCATCTACTATGAATAAATAGAGAGGTAGAGAAATGTTTATATTAGACACATTTATGACTTTCAAATTTGAAAACGAATGAGATGGCAGTAAGATATATAATAATCAATGTGATTATTATTATCGGAATCTAATCGAAATCACCTGAAAGTAACTTAATGGTAGAAAGAATTTTATTATTTCGGTGGATAGATTTATTTTTCAATTGTAAATTTTTTGGTTTATTAACAGGAGTAGCGACTGCCACCATTGTTGGATAATTTTTATGGATTGAATGACAAAAACTATCGGATGACACACGACCTTATGAATAGAGAATTTGAATAGGATTGCCTGATACTCAAGTTTTGTATGTTTCCGAAATACTTTATACTCTACCCGCCAGTACCGCAGTTTTTATTGCACAACGCCTGAATTTTCCCGGTACTTCAACGTCGAACTGACTTTCCTGAACATCACCGGAATTTCTCCGGCTATTTCGTGGAAAATCTTGTGTTCTCTTCTCTATACAATATGATAAAAATAGCCCATAAACGTACCGGAAATTTCAACCGAAAATTTTCAACAGTGTACCTGAGATTTTCACTCCATAAAGTCTGACATCGCATTCATCAATGATTGTTGCAAATTATCCATGAAAATCTAATCATCTTTCACAGTGTACCTAATTTTCTAGTGAAGTCATCAGATACAATTAGTCGCGAGAAAAAGTGTAATTGCTCCATTTGTAACTTGGATTTATCTTCCTCCTCGATCTCTGAGGAAACGAAAAACAAGAGCCAGACTCAATTCAGCTTTATACGTTTCCGTTTAAAGGTAGAAGTTCAAACACGAGTGTCACAAAAGGGGAAATAAAAGTAAAGGGGGAAAGACTGCGTCGAGTTGGAGTAAAGTGAGAAGAACTTTTCGTAACCCCGTTAGTGTCGACTGTCTTTTTTTACGGAGAAAACGTGAAAGAGAAAAAGGCTTCGTTTACGACTTTTGCCTTGTCGTTTTATACTTACTCTTGCATCTGTTTTTCTGTATAAGACTCACTTGAGAGAGGTTCCCCCTGACAGAACTTTTCTGGAGAACGTGAACGGGTAAATAGAAATTTTAAACTGAATGAACAAGAACCGAGTGAACCAAATGAAATTGACTGAGAAATAACTGTAGAGCGGAGAAAAATTCCTGTTTACGATCTTAAATAAAGTGAAAAGTGAAAAATAATCAGGATAGACAGAAAAATGACCAAGTAAGTGAATGAGGCAAACAATTGGTAGATTAAAACCAACAAATTGCTTGTTGTCATTTAATAAGGAATATGAATAATTCGCAAATTTGTATTTACTTCAGCTGTGCCCAGCCTTTCCCCAATGTCACCGAGAAACATTACATATTTAAAAGTATTTTTTATAAAAGGGAAAACCCCATAAAAATTACCACAGAAAAAAGGGAAAGTAAGGCTTCGAACGCTAATCCACCAACGAAGGGAAGTTCAACAGAAAGTGTAAGTTGAAAGAGATATTGTGTGAACTGTCACGCAAATTCTACGATTTGTCTTGACAACAAATCGTTCCACAATTTTTCTAAATCCATTGAGATATTTCACGGAAGGAAACGTGCAAACGACATACCAGCCTCAAGACAATTGATGAACAATCATCAATTGTTGGAAATGAATTGAAAGCTACGTGACAATTTTATAATTTTCTCAGTGATGGGCTTGAGAAATTACTGATCGCTTTCCATATATTTTCTTTTAGTCCTATATAACTGCCGGAAAACGATTTCTTGTTTTGGATTAGCTCAATTGTTTCGTAATTTTTTCAGTCACTTTTACTGAATTTTCCCTGAATTTTTCCCTGATTCAAGTCTGTAAAAAAACTTCGCAGTCAAAAAACGGAAACGGAAAAAGTTTTAGACGCGTCATAACATTCTGAGTAAATTCCAATGATAAATTAATTTCTGAAAAAAAAGTAGATGTTTGCATGTTTGTTAAATGTATGCACCGAGGGAATGTTGCATTCATACATCCAAGAAAATCAAAATATAAATAACAATTTCAAACTCGACATGACGAGGTTTGAACTGATAATAACGAAAGGTTGAAAAATAAACGTGTGAATTGTAATCCAATCAAGTTTCCATCACGCCACAGAAATCGTGAATCATGAATCACGAATTCTATTTCCCTGAAGTTTATAACTTTCTCATCACTGAAATTTTCATTACATCCCCTAATGCACATCCCCGAAAATGGCTGCTCCATCATTCAGAGACATTGTCATAAGCCAAGTGCCTGAAGTACAGGACTATAATCAACCCGAGATCAATTTCATCGTTCTCACAGTACCACATCAACGACACCCTGAATTGTTAATGTCGTTAAAGGAGTTTCCACGTAGCAGTATCCTCTCTCCCCCTGGAGCTCTTCCACCACCTCTAGAAGACAGAGTCTCAAGCAACTGCTCGGTTATCATACCGATGGAGAACCCTGATGGAAGGGTTAGACACCATCGATAAATGTCTAATTAAGGTCCACCAAACCATTCTACATGTGCTATAATGATAGATTTCCGTCACCTAATTAAGGATGCGGAGAGCGTTTGTGAGAGGAATAATTAGGTTGGGAGATATGGCAGTGACGACGGGGCCGATAATATCCAGGCAATAATCATGCTTTTGACGAAGAAATTAATATTCCAATGATCATTGTTTGTGGTGGAACTAAACCAGACATTTAGCTAATCACCCAATTAATTTGTGTATCTTTCTGTCAACAAATTATTCCACAAAACTCAGTTATTCATTGAAAAAATCAAAGAATAACAATGTTCTTGTGGAATAGATAGATAAGATGGATAAGATAGATAGGGAGATATTCAGAATAATATCAGGGTCGTAACGAGGGGTTCGGAAACCCTTAGAAATTCTTCAAACAATTTAAAAGCTTAAGTGCGAATATTAAAAATAAAACCTTTTTGTATGGTTTAATTTATTCCTAATAGATAAAATTAATAGTTAATAGTTAATAATATAAAGGGTGGAAAGTATTTTGTGGAGTTTTTT